GCTTAGGGTTCCGAGAAGAAGAAGACTACATAGCAGCAGCGTCGTCACTGAGCTCACCATCTCCCACCGTTCAGCAAATTGTTTCTCTCCCGAGTCTCCTCTTTCTCCAGAGAAAAGACGCAGAAACAGGAAAAGAAAAGAAACAGGGTTAGATTTGACATTTCACCGTTAATGATTTAGGTATATATGAAAATGTCCTATATGTAGAGGTAAAAATGAAAAGTGGTACATAGAATGTGGTAAAATTGAAATTCTCCCGTAAATTATGTATTTTCTAAATAGGATGACGGATATATTTTCTATAGAGAATTTGTTAAATTTCATTATTCCTTTGTAATGGTTACAATTCATTACTAGTATATTTTATTGACTAATATATGGTCAGTAGTTAAATATCATATATATTTATGACATTTTTCTACCAAAAAATAGTACTCTTTCTTTTGTTAAAGATCATAAAGTTAATTTATATGGATAGAAGTAACATTGTTTTCGTGGGTATAACTTTAAGTTTCTTCCTGAAATGTAGTAGCCTCTGAAACGACAATCGGCTTATTATTGAAATAAACTTCAAAACATTTTAAAATATGATAATAAATTCGAAGTAACACGAAGAAGCTGGGAGAATTTCAATTATATCACTTTGGTGATACCACTTTTCATATTTACCATCAACAAAAGAATATTTTCAAAAATACACTTTTTATTAAAGGATAAAAGACTTTTATATCCTTATTCTTTATATATATACATAAAATAAATATTAAATAAAATATTAACCCTAAACCCTAAAACATCAATTCTTAACTCTAGGTCATAAAAAGTAAACTCTAAACCCTAAAAATTAATCCTAAACCCTAAAATATCAATTATAAACCTTAAACCCTAAACTCTGAACCTTAAAAATAAACCCTAAACCCTAAAAAATCAACACTAAACCCTAAACTATTAATCCTAAACCCAAAACCTTAAACCCTAAATTCTAATAGTATTTTGACTATTAAAATTTTAATGGTAAAGTTGATTAGTGTAAAGTTGAAAAATGATACCTTGAAAGTGTTATTTCTGGCAATTTTCCGAAGAAGTTTCTCCTTATAACTAATTTAAAATCATAAGATAAGAGTCGACAAGATCAACAAAATTGTCTACACATAAGATTTGTTCTTTATTCTCTTGCGGATTTTCTATTTACCTTGAAAGATGATCATATAAGGCCCGTCTGTTTTGTCATTTACTTTGTGGAGCATATGTCGTGTTTACATTTTCATAGACAACAAAACAAATTTCCCAAGTAACATTCAACATTATTGATTTTTTTACGGAAAGACGTTTTCTCTAAGTTTCTAACACTTTAAAATAATTATATTATTAACCATAAAATAATCTATATTTAAAAAAAACATAGAATAATTTTTTTTAGTGTTTGTTAAAATTTTATATTTTTAGATAAAAAGTGAATTTCGTTCATCAGGTTTCATGAAGCTGGAGGTGCTTAAGTTTGGGCCATATATTGGGCCCAACCACATAAGCCCAAAGGAACTTTTGAGCAGAGAAGATCCCACCAAAGTCACCAACTACAATCCAGAAAAGCAGCGAATCACGAAGACGACTGACTCATCAGCAATGGGGAGAAAGAAGGGATTGCCGGAGTTCGAAGAGACGGCGCCGGATGGATTCGACCCGGCGAATCCATACAAGGATCCGGTGGCGATGGTGGAGATGAGAGAGCACATCGTACGGGAGAAGTGGATCCAAATAGAGAAGGCGAAGATCATGCGTGAGAAGGTCAAATGGTGTTACCGCGTGGAAGGTGTTAACCATTACCAGAAATGCCGTCATCTCGTCCAACAGTATCTCGACTCCACTCGCGGCGTCGGTTGGGGAAAAGACCACCGTCCTGTCTCCCTCCACGGTGAGCTTTGCTGAAACTTCATTGGCCTCTGAGCATAAAACTATGTTAAGTTTTTTTTTTTTTTTTTATGTTAATGATCAGGTCCCAAACCTGAGGCTGTTGAAGCTGAGTAATACTTTGTGTCTGATCAATCTGAGGTGAGTAACTGTTTCTTGTTTATGGTTTGTCTTTTATGGAAGCTTTATTTAATGCCGTTGTTTATAAAAACGATAGCAAACATTACAGCAGTAGAAGTTGTTCACAACAGCATAATGATCCAAATCTTCTTCTTTTTTTTAGCTTCAGTGAGGCAGGTGACAGGTCTTAATACAAGTCCATGATGGAATGATTATTGGACTGTTCAGATTTGCTTCTTTTATTTCCTTGTGAAACATGCCAGTCTTTGGATTCATTCATGCAAAGGTTTTACAAGCTTGAGTGGTATATTGTATTGCTACACTAAACATCAGTCTCTCCTTATGATACCAAATAAGTCCCTTTTTCTTCTGTCTACCTTCGTTATTATGTATACCATAAATAAAATAAACCACAAATGGTTAAGTTTCAAACTGGAAACTCTGTAAAACATACACAAATGCAAAAATCACACAAAAGATTGAAAAGAGACAATTAGAAACACAACTTGGCGGTTTTGACTCTTTAACGAGTCTTCTCTGCCGTCATCAACTCTGGTCAACCGCCCAGCAAGTGTGGTCACTTTGTGTTCTAGTTTCACTCCCCCATGTTCTAGTTTCAAAATTTAAAAGCCAATCCTCTTTTTTAAGCTTTGACAAATAAGGTCCTCACAATGACTTGCCATCACCGTTTAAAACAAGTCTATTACTATTCGCCTCAAGAATAGACGTGAACGGTATACTAATTGCTTTGGCTCTACACAAAGTGTGTTTGGTGTTTGTTCCCATGCATATATTTATAAAAATGTTTATGTTCATTCCTTCATATAATTAGCTCTTTTTTCCCAACTCGAAACATAATTTATCTTTATGAACATATTGAGGTAAAGAAATCAATGTGAATATATAGAGTAAGCACGACAAGTATCCAATGTGATCTTCTTGGAACTTGTAAGTATAGTTCAATGACAACCAACAGAGTGCTACTAATCATATGGAGAAGATATTCTAGAGTAGCATAACGGAACCATTTTCTTCCATACCATTCAAAATTAGGCTGATCAATGCTAGTTAAACTCTACGTTACTTTTGTAGAGTTAAAAACTTGCATGCTCAATAACTATTGAAAGCTCAAACAGAGCTTGAGATAAATATGAAGAAGATAACTTTTATTGATAACGTTTGTTGCTTGAGAAACAAAGACAGAGCAATACAAGGTATATAAAGACTTGTGTGCACAGATAAAGACAAACACGTCAGCATGATACAGCACACAAGTTGAGGGAATCAAATCGGTTATGCAGCTGGAGGTCCAGCCTAGCTGAGGTCGTACAACGAGCATCTTTTGACTCAGACCTATCCACACCTCTGTTACCGTTTGGGAAACGACAAGCATGAACATTGGGCTTCGGTTGTGTGGTTTTAGTGATATGGGCTTCGGTTGTACCTTGGGCCTGTTTCAGCACTTGAGAGTTGTTGTTTACACACCCCCTCAAACGAGGCGTGGGAGGCAAGACAACGCCGAGTTTGTCACGCAGGAAGCAAAATGGTTGTTGAGCCAGAGACTTTGTGAAGATATCTGCGAGCTGTTGAGCTGAAGGTATTTGACTGACCACAAGAGCTCCCAATGCCACTCTTTCACGAACATAGTGAAAATCGGTGTCAAAATGTTTGCTTCTGTTGTGTAGAGCGGGATTGGCAGTAAGATAAACTGCAGACAAGTTGTCACAGAAGAGCTTTGGAGGGTCAGGAAGAGTAATACCCATTTCGCCAAGAAGAGACGCTAACCACTTCAACTCAGTCGCGGTGATAGACAATGTTCTGTACTCAGCTTCGGTAGAGGATCTTGAGACCGTTGGATGTCGTTTAGCGGACCAGGAAATGATATTGGAGCCGAGGAATGTACACATACCACCAGTAGAGCGGCGTGTTTCTCGACAACCAGCCCAGTCGCTGTCGCTAAAACCATACAACAAGAACCCAGTCTCTGCATTGATATTCAGACCAAGACTGCTTGTGCCCTTCAAATAACGCAATATGCGTCTTAAATTGGTGAAGTCAGCCTTGGTAGGAGCGTGCATCTTCTGACAAACATAATTGACTGCAAACTGAATGTCTGGCCTTGTTAGAGTGAGGTACTGAAGCTTACCAGCAAGGCTTCGAAAATACGTAGGTTCAGGAAAAATTTCATCTTGACCAACCACACGATCTAACTGCAGAGGCAAAGGTGTAGGCATGGGATCACAACCACTCATCCCTGCTATCTCTAACAAATCCTTTGTATACTTCTCCTGACAAAGGAACAAACCCTCATCATGTTCTCGAACTTCAATACCCAAGAAGTAGTGAACCGGACCCATGTCTTTCATACGGAACGTAGACTGCAGAGTGACCATAAGCTTTTCAATAAGCTTGTCATTGTTGCTGGTGAGTAACATGTCGTCCACATATAAGAGCAAGTAGATAACAACAGGTCCATGAAGATACACAAAGAGAGAAGGATCTCCATGAGTGCATTTGAAACCAAACTCCAAGAGGAAAGTACTAAACTTATCAAACCAAGCTCTTGGTGACTGACGAAGACCATAAATAGCTTTTCGAAGTTTACAAACGTGGTTTGGCCGTTCTTGATCAACAAAGCCTGGAGGTTGCTTCATGAACACCGTCTCTTTCAAATCCCCATGGAGAAAGGCGTTCTCCACATCCAATTGCTTAATACTCCAACCCTTCACAGTAGCAATATGTAGAACAGAACGTATTGTAGCTGTTCGAACAACAGGACTGTACGTTTCAACATAATCGATACCTTCTTCTTGCTCGTTACCTCTTGCAACAAGACGAGCTCTACGTTTCTGCAACGAGCCATCAGCATTAAACTTAGACTTGAAGACCCATCCACAGCTAACAGGTTGAACATTTGGAGGGAGAGGAACTAAATCCCAAGTGTGAGTCAGTTCCATATTATGTTTTTCATGACTCATAGCAGCCGTCCAGAGGGGATCTTTGAGAGCTGCTGGGACAGATTTTGGCTCAGGATAGTTGGTCTTAACAGACATGAGGACATAACGTGGATTAGGCTTACGTATCCCATCCTTTCCACGTGTGATCATTGGGTGAGTAGGAACAAGTGGTTGAGGAGGAGAGACAGGTGGGGAGGGGAGGGGTGGAAAATCTTGTGGTGTAAAAACTGGTGAAACAGGGTTAGGTGGTGAAACAGAGGTAGGTGATAAGGTAGGTGTGGGAATAGGTGGGGTAAATTCTTCTTCTTCAGGTTGAGGTGTAGGTAAAGGAATAGGTTCGGTAATAAACTCTGACTTCCAAGCAGAGAGTAGTTTAGTATCAGCAAATTGCAGAAACGACTGATACTCTTTCTGATAAGGAAAACTAGCTTCATTGAACAACACATGACGGCTCACATAAACTCTGGCACTGGGGGGATGGAGACACCTATAGCCTTTGTGTTGTTCACTATATCCTAAGAACACGCAGTGCAAGCTCTTAGGATCAAACTTGTTCTCAGCATAAGGTTTAAGAAGGGGGAAGCAACTGCAACCAAACACACGCAGAGAAGTGTAGACAGGAGGTTTACCAACTAACATCTCATAAGGACTGACATGTCCAGGAAGCACGGAGGAAGGTAGCAGATTGGTCAGGTACGCAGCAGTAAGAAAAGCTTCAACCCATAGTTGGTGAGGTACTTTGCTCTGAAACATCAGAGACAAACCAAGCTCAGTAACATGGCGATGCTTGCGTTCTGCAAGTCCATTCTGCTGCGGTGTGTGTGGGCATGAAAGCTGGTGTTTTATACCACACTTAGCAAGATGTTGTTTCAGGAGATGACTAGTGAACTCTCCACCACCATCAGTTTGAAAGGATTTGATTTTGCAGTCAAGTTGGTGTTCAACATAATTCTGGAAACTCAAGAACACTGAAAAGAAATCTGATTTCAACTTCAACGGGTACAACCAACTGAATCTTGAGAAATGATCAACAAAAACTGCATAATATCTAAATCCTTGAGTGGAAACCACTGGAGAAGGTCCCCAGAGGTCACAATGCACTCGTTCTAAAGGTTTAGTAGCTACAAATTCAGACGCTAAGAAAGGCAAACGAGTAGATTTTCCAAGTTGACACGCCTCACAGAGCTGTGAACTGGATTTATTGATGGTGATGGCTTTATTTGCTGATAAACGTTGGAGAATGTCTTGATGTGGGTGGCCTAGCCTCATGTGCCACACGTCATCACTAGTGACTTGCTGTCTGTGAGAATAGTAAGTCATGAACCGCGGATTCTCCAAAACGTAGAGGTCTTGTTGTCTACTGCCCTTGGTGAGAAGCTGCCTTGTCTGTTTGTCCTTCACAACAACCGTATCAGAGTCGAACTCAATGCAACAAGGATAGTCAGCAGTAAGCTTCGAAACTGACAAAAGAGACTTGGTAATGTTAGGACAAACAAGAACATCATTCAACAGAATCTTACCTTGAAGACTCGGAAGCACAGCAGTCCCAACATGAGTAATAGGGAGAAAGTCACCGTTGCCAACCAACACCGTATCACCACCAGAGTAGGCTTGAGCAGACTGCAGATTAGAGGTTTGGTTTGTGATGTGTGCAGTAGCTCCGGAGTCAGCACACCACTCTTGATTAGTGTGTTGTTGCTGTTGTTGAGTACGGAAAGCAGCTAAGGCTCGGTGATATTCTTCAGTCTGAAAAGAATGATCAAAGCGTTTAAAGCATTTATACGCAGGATGACCAAACTTGTTACAGATCTGACATGTTGGTCTATCCTCCGATGAACTCGAACCACGACCAGCGCCTTGACTGAGATGTTGATGAAAACCACGTCCTTGTGTGGAATAACCACCTCTGCCACGTGAGCTTCCTCTGGTACCCCTTCCACGATGCGCATAACCTCCTCTGGTGTTGGAGTAAAACGCTTGGTGTAAGGATACGTCGGTAGAAGACTCGTAAGAAGTCAGCTTATCGTTAAAACCGATTAACTTGAACACCACGTCATCAAAGTTAGGACCAGGAAAGTTATCCATGGAACTTTCGATAACAGTAGCGATGGACTCGTACTCTCTACCAAGACCACGCAGAACACCATATATCTTCTCTTGATCTGACAGAGGCGCACCGATGGAGTCGAGTTGGTCACAGAGTGACTTCATCTCGGTAAGATACTCAGCCAAAGTTCGAGCACCTTTCTTTGTGTTTTGGACACGACTCTGCAACTCTAACTTCCTTGTCGGAGAGACGCGGTTGTATTTCTGCGCAAGGTAGTACCACAACTCCTGGGAAGAGCGGAGACCGTAGACACTCTTGATTGCGTCTTCGGAAAGTGAACCACACAGCCACGCCATGATACGTTGGTCGGTCTGGACCCATTTGGCGTACGCTGGATTCGCTGTCTCAGTAACAATTTCTCCATTAGTAGTAGTGACGGTCGGAGGAGGGCGGAAAGTAGCTCCGGTAACGTATCCCAGAAGGGACTGACTGTTAAGAAACTGCTCAAACTGAAACTTCCACGAGAGATAGTTGGAATCGTTGAGTTTCAGTGTGACACAGTGTGTGATAGTGAGAGGAGCGGTAAACGGATCACCATCCATAGCGAAGCCTCAGGTTCTACTCCCTGAGAGCTCTGATACCATGAAAGCTCAAACAGAGCTTGAGATAAATATGAAGAAGATAACTTTTATTGATAACGTTTGTTGCTTGAGAAACAAAGACAGAGCAATACAAGGTATATAAAGACTTGTGTGCACAGATAAAGACAAACACGTCAGCATGATACAGCACACAAGTTGAGGGAATCAAATCGGTTATGCAGCTGGAGGTCCAGCCTAGCTGAGGTCGTACAACGAGCATCTTTTGACTCAGACCTATCCACACCTCTGTTACCGTTTGGGAAACGACAAGCATGAACATTGGGCTTCGGTTGTGTGGTTTTAGTGATATGGGCTTCGGTTGTACCTTGGGCCTGTTTCAGCACTTGAGAGTTGTTGTTTACAACTATGACCCCTCCTTCGTGTTATAACTTAAGCCATTATAACATTCGATACAACTTCCATATCAGCTGCCTGTGCAAATAAAACAATCGTCATATCAGAAAAATATTGTGCTTCCATTGATTTCTTGTGGAAGAATTTTGTTAGTTCTGTGAAGGTTAGTAGTTTTGTCCACATTCAAAACCTTCTCGTTGTAATAGTTATAGATATCTAAAAATATCATTGCCTTCTCGTTTCATTATCTTTTCACATATTGTTTTATGTTTATATCAGTAAAAGAAAATAAAAAATATTCCATGACTGGTTGAATTGTATTTACATTTCTCTGTAAGTACTGAGTCGCAATCTTTTTTTTGTAAGATATAGTTGCAATTTGCGTGATGAGTATTATTATATGTAGTACGTAAAATATGTTGCAAGGTTTAGAAAAAGCGTGAGAGTCTATACCGGCGTCATGTATTATATATTCACTTGACCGCAAAATCTGCAAGGCTACAGTGTTACGTGTCGTCTTACTTTTGGGTTAAAATCCTACCGACAAACAGATTCTAGTCGGGTCCACGTGCGTAATGAGATCACTTCAATGTCCCTTTACTCTTCTGTCCCTTTTGTCTAATTACGACGCTTAAATTTGTTAAAACATCACTTCGGTGCAATCAATAGTTGCTAATACATCACTCAATAGTCAGTACTATGCAATTATTCCCAAATTAGTACGTACATACATGATTTGAAGCCAAAAAACCCTGCCTTCACTCATTCAGAAATCTTTGCGAAGGGTCTGATTTATCAATTTGTTATTTTAATATACAGTTGCATTATTAAAATATATCGTTATTTAAACATTGTTCCCATGTGAATTAAGTGTTCCCAAAAACAGTGTTACTTTTCACTGTTCGCAATATTTTGGTTACCAGTCTCTACTTCATATTAATTTAACGTAGACTAGTCTTTCCAAATTTTTTTATATAAAACACAATACATCGAATCATATATAGGTTGGGCTGATCAGAAACATGCCCGGACATATTCTGACGATATCCACTACAAATGATCGCTAGATTCCGAAATCTTAGGCACCATACGTGATCGCATATTTTTTTGTAAACACTCGACAGTCGACACTCGTAACGCTATGCAAGTGTTTCAGATAACAAATAATAAATATCTGGTCATCGCGCGTACAATGTCAATATCTGTTGATGAGGGAAGCTATTCTGTGACACCTAGAAAAAATAAAAAAAAAGATGTCCAGATATTTATTTTTTTCTTAGGGACAGTTTATATCTCAATTCTCGTTCATTCTGACGATATCCACTACACATGTTTCTTTTTTATTTGCTAAACAGCATTCATTCATGGCATTCATATGTTGCATTGTCTAAAAGGAGCATATAATGAAATATGGTGGCCAGTCTTGCATGTGGTTCTTGACTCACCTCTCATGTCACCTCCAACGATTACGGATGACTGGAAACGACGATGTGGTAACTGTACGTGTTATAGGGGTTATCTTTTCGGGTTAGTGTACCGCTAGATTTACAAACCCTATATATTTCTTTTATTTGTAGTATAGTTTCTGTTTGTAAGTAAGTGATGTGGTGATATCTTGATCGAAAACCCAGTTATATATTTGATGATCTGATGTGGTGGTTCCAACTTCCATGTAAATGAATATACTGGGAGTAGTATTTTTCCATCATGACTGAACTTTTCACATTTTTTGAAGTAAAAACTTTTACAATCTTTTTTTTAACGTTGATTTATTATGATATTACAATTATGTGAAATATCAAATAGACGATTCGACAACCAATAACACTATTTGATTTGTGACGATCTACCCCTAACTACATCACCTAAGTCATCCTATGAATATTCATGTTTGGTTGAGTTTACTTACACCATATTGAAAATTCCTTGTTTTATCTTTTTTTTTTGTAATCTACATAATTGTTTAATACATCGTTTTCGTCGGGGCATGTACCTCCTAATATATAAACATTAATAAACCCTCGGTAAAAACCTTTACTGTTAACATTGATTTTTCATTTCATACCGTTGGGACTTTGGGGGATTGACAATAGTTATATAATATAGAAGACAGGGCCACAAAAAAAAGTTTTCTTAAGACTTGTTTAGTTACAAACTTACAATAAGGCTCTTTCTCACAAAAACTTACAAACAAAAACTAAAACCTGCAGCTCAGACAAATATATTCCAAAGTAAACATAACTCTAATAATAATTCTATTATTAGTCGGTAACATATGAGTAATTTATAAGTAGAAAAAAAAAAGAAGAAGAAAAATTCACACTTGAGATTTTGTTTCTCACTCCAAGTTTTACTGATATATGTAAAACTACTCAATCATTTCACATTTAGCATTGATTCGGTGACAACCCAACAAGCTTATTCGCTAGATCGTAAGTGATACGTGTACTTTGCTGCTGCACGTTCCCAATAATCGACAACGAAGACGACGTCGGAGCAAAAGCGAAGCAAAACGTCCCCGCATCATCAATCGGTATCAAGTAATTCTTCGCCGGCAAATCGATCGACTTCCCTCCCGTGAAATGAAACGCCACCGTCGGAACCTTCACCGACGACATATCCGAGAAATCATAACACGTGTCGAACAGCGAGATGCTCGACGTCGCGTTCTTGAAATCCGCCGCGAGTCTAACGAACGCGTCGCGGAGCGAGTTATACGCCTCCGTCTGAAGCCGAGTCACGGCGGTTCCGCAGTCCATGATCACTCCTCCCTCTCCCGTCGCGTCGTTGACCTCGAACACCGACGACGGGATCGAGACTTTCTCGCCGCCGACGCTGAATCCGCTGAGTCCGAGGTAGTAGAAAGTCTTGACCTTGCTGTTACGGACAATCGGCGCCGTCGCGTCTCCGTCGCCGATTCGGACCGAGTTGAAATCGAGGCTCGACGAGTTCCCCGAGTCGCGATCGACGAGGCAGTACGAAAACGACGTCGCGTTGATCTGATTAGGCATCGATAAAGCTCCACCTCCTAAACCGAGTAAACCGGCCGCTCCCACGAATAAACCTTCGTTATCATGCCCACACCCCAAAGCGACGTCGTTCACTTTACCCGAGTCACCAAACGTCACCGTATCGGTCGCGTATTCTCCAACGGTAAACGATCCGTCTCCGTAACTAACTTGATAAAGACATTTGCTCGAGCGACACGTGGAGACTTCTAAAAGAGCGCACTGTGGAGCCGCGCAAGTTAGCGGCTTGTACGTAGAAGAAGCAGCCGGGTCGAAAACCGGGTCGGATTGTTCGTAACAGTCGGAGCAAGGCTTGCATTGGATCCAGTTCACGTCGCTCCCGGTGTCGAGCACCATGTACATCTCCTTCGCCGGAGTTCCGACTCCGATCCTCGAGAAATACTCGCCGCTTCCTTGGCTAGCTCCGGAGACGACGGGCGACGTTAGATCCTCGGCGTTGTATCGGGTCTCGCCGTCGGGTTTGAAGTCGGATCTGTCGACGGAGAATCGGACTCTCGCGGCGATTGCGGCGACTCGGGATGAGTCACGCGCGAGTCGACTCAGTACTAGGGTTTTGTAGTCTTTGTGGTTTGATGGGAGGAGGGTGTCTCGGGAGTGGAGCTGGAGAGAGAGTGGAGAGGATGAGTTGAGGAAAAGTGGGATTGATTTGGATTCGAACTCGGGTCTGGTGGTTGTGGTGGTGGGGAGTGAGGAATGGAGGGAGAGGATGTGTTGTGTTTGTTGGAGAGATGAAACGACGTTGAGTACGGTCGTTTTATGTGGAGTTTGTAGAGAGCGGGAGGAAGTATGGGTAGTAGTGAGGAGAAGAGAGATTGTGACGATGGAGAGGAGAGAGAAGAATCTGGGGGAAGCCATAGTTAAAGTACAATGGAGAAGAGGTTAGAGATGTTTTACTTATAGCAAGAAAAGAAACGATGACTTCATTTGACTCCTCCACTATTCAACACTCAAACTCCATATACTTCTTTTTATAATCATTAAACTCCTCTAATCTTTCAAATTTTATCACCACACCACCTATATTATTACTCTTTTTCTGATTAATTCAACAAAATATACTTTTAATGACATTTAAATTGACTAAAGGCATTCAACAAATCATGTGTTGCTGACTCTGTATATCATTTTGGATTTTAGGTTTACAAAAATAATAGGTTTATAAAAAACAGGTTTATATTTTAGCATTTTGTCTATGTATGTCGTACAATTTTACATGGAGTTATATTCTTAGGCTAGCAACGTGTTTTAGATGAAACTATTAGGATTATAAATAAGAGTTATTCTTAGGTTCACCCCCTAGGGTGAACATCTATGTTCACCAACCAATAGGATGGTGTTATTTTATATTTAATATCTTTTTAAAAAGGAAATAAAATCTTGTTAAGTTATATTATGTTTTTTAAATAAAAATACAAAAAGAAATAAAAAATAATAATATTTAAAAAAACAAAAAAAAACTTTTTTAAAAAATATTTAACACTAAACCCTAAACTCTTATCCTAAACCCTAATACTAAACCCTAAACCCTAAACCCTTGGGTAAATCATAAACCCTTTGGAAAAATCTTAACCCTTGGGTAAATTAATACTAACCAATTATACTATTTTCATTTATTTTTATCCTTTTATTTTAAACACATGTTTTTATTTTAAAGATATATTAAAATATTTTTTTGTTTTATATTGTTTTTGCAATTATTACTATTTTTATTTTATTTTTATCTTTTATTTTAAAACATAATAGAATGTTAAAATATTTTTTAACGATTTTTTTTTCGTTTTTCTTAAATATTAATATTTTTATTTTTATTTTAAATACATAATATAACTTGACAAAATTTTGTTTCCTTTTTTAGAAGATATCAAATATGAAATAATATCACCTTATTGGTTGGTGAACCTAGAGGTTCACCCTAGCGGGTGAACCCAAGAATAAGTCTATAAATAATACTCCTTCTAACTCAAATTATTTGTCATTCTATAATTTTGTACACAAAATTACTTAAATGTTCAAATTTACCTTATTTAATCATTAAAATTACATAATATTTAATAATATCTTAATTTAATTAGGAGAAAAAGAGATAAAACAATAGTAAAAATTATATTGGCAACACATATATTTTGCAACAAAAAAATTATATTAGAACGACAATTAATCAGAAACGGAGGATATATTAGTGTAAACTTGAAATTTCTAGACTATTCTCATTGATTTTAGTTGAATGAATAAAATTTCGGTATATGTGATTTGTTGAAAGCTTTTAGTTAATTAAGACGTCATGAAATAGATTTTTTGGGATTTATCATGAATCGAATAATATATCAGTTGTTTGGTGATGAATTGTGTGAAGATTGGGGGTCTTGTGATGAAAAGTAAAGTTTGTGTGTTAGATTGAAACGTGGGGGGGCGGGGGGGGGGGGGGGGCT